ATTCTAATTGCAATTCTAATTCCAATTCTAGTTCTAATTCTAACTAATTTTTTCAAAGAAAACAACACGAAGCCAAGGTTGGTAGGTGGCCTCCTCTTCGCCAACGCTAATTCATAGTCAATCTTCTTGTTGAATTCTATAATTAAGGTATTTCATCTACTTTTTTCTTATTAATTATTCAGATATTTTATTCTTTAGATACAATGAGTTTGTTTGTTTGTTTAGTGATTGCAATGGTTTGAATCTTCAATTCAAAGTTAATTAATTACTTAAGATCATGACTAAATACTCAGATCAATACACATGCATGATTATTTTTTTTATATCTGAACTTTGGATATTGTGCCTACCAACAGGAGCATGCAATCAATTGATGAGAATATGATAGAATCTGCTGCGGGTTGGGGAGATTTGGAAGGTAACCTTTTACTAAAGATATTTAAACAGCTAACTCGAGAAGATTTGATATCAGCAACCTGGTTCGTTTGTGGGTGGTGGAGGTCAGTTTCTTCAGCAATTTTGTTCTGGAAGGATGAATCCACACTTGAGCTAAGAACTGATGTAAAACGTTTAAGCAGATCCAGAAATCTGGATCCTTCCCAAAGATTGAAAGAAGCACTAAAATGCGTCATGGATTGCTTTCCCATGAGCAGCAGTAGTCACAATTGTGCTCCTGTTAGGACCATGCTGTTTTCACGCGCTATGTTTTTACTTGACATGCATATAAATCTGGTTGCCAAGAAGTAATACTATATATTTCATTCTTTTATACATTTGATATATATGCAACTAGAATTGAAATTAATTTGGCTTTTAATTTGGTGTATTTGGGATTATATATTTGCCTAGGTCCCCAAAGCTCAGGAAGCTTATACTTCCAAAAGCATATACCGTGACAGTGCCTGGGCTTTGTAGAGCAATACGCAAGTGGGAGGAACTTGAAGAGCTGTCAATTGGACCGGTTAGGAATCTTAACGCACCTTCTTTCTTTCGAGTGTTGGGCAAAACATGCAGGAACTTGACCATATTAACTTTATCTAGCTACTGCACTGACTCAAGTATGTACTTTAGACTGGACGAGATCAACTCTTTATCTTTATCAAGGTGTGTTCCGCAGCTTAGGATGCTGAGCATGGACAAGATGCCCATATTCAGGAGGGGTGTTTGCATAATCTTGCAGAAGTGCAAGAATCTTGAGAAGCTTGATTTATCTAAGTGTGGCAGAATGTTCTACGACTATCCATCTATTTATGGTCCTGGATTGGGAAAACTTTATGGGAAGGAAATTTCAGTAGAGATTAAAAGGGATAAAGGCTATCAAAGCATGAGATGGTTTATAGATACTTTGGATGAGAGTTATACTCCAAAAAGGGGGGTAAAATGCTTATGGAGTGTAGGTGAAGAAGCTTTCTTTGCGCATAAACCCCCTGGAAGCCCTTCAATTGATTGTTTTTGAAACCCTTAAGCTCCTCAACATACTTTATATTATTGTTATAATTAGACTAAAATACAATATTTGATTACATTGCATTATGTGAGTCACATACCCTCTTTTACTTCATTACTTTATCTTTGTTACTATCATGCTATTACAAATGTGATCCAACTTAAACTTATAAAAATAAAAGTCTTATTCAAAGTGCATATGGGTTTCATGTATAAGGGATTAATGTTACCTCTATATATATGGTCCCGTTTGGTAATAGTTGCAGGACGCCTTTTTAGATACAAATTGTGGGGTATGGGACATTATTTTTTTCTTTATGGGTAAATGACAAAATATATTCAATTGTCATGCATGTGAAAGGACTAAATAAATATTGCAGGTTAGCGCATAGTATGTTGTATTCTTAAATTATTTTGGTGAGAATCTATCTAAAAATTTATATCTTATGTTATTATATTATAATAATTGTTAAAATCATTAATAAATCTTGAACAAATACTGATAAACCTTTTAAAAATTTCAATAAATCTCTTTAAGATCTTTAATAAATTTTTTTAAAAATACTTATAAAATCTCAAATACATATCTAATGGTAAGAGAGTTTAAAAACCACTTTAGAGCTTAAGCTCCAATGATGGCTTCCTATGTACCAAAAATAAATATGTAGGGATTCATGTAATAAAGTTTGGACTGTATATTAATAGTACAATCTCTTTTATAAATTTATTAAAATACCTTTAATGAAATAATATAAGAAATAGTTTTATTAAGGGTATTTTAGTAAATTTATAAGACAGACTATACTTTTAAAATACAGTACATTTTATAAAACATTTTTTGATATATACATACATACACACATACACACACATATATATTATGGTAAAAATGGTACTCCTGTTTATTTTTTATAAACCTAATTTGACTTTTTAACTTTTAAGATATGAATTTTAGATGAAAATTTAACAAAATATGTGAACATGTCAAATAATGATGAAATATTGATGATTATAACATTTAAGTTTTGATTTAGAACATGTCTAATTTAGATGATGGAAGAGAGAGAGAGAGAGAACTATGGGTGGATGAGGGGAGAAAAAATAATAATAATTTAACAAACAAATTTATTAATATAGAAAGAGAGACTGTGAGGTAAATATAGGTGGATTGATAGTATAATGATAAATTATGTAAAGGTAAGTTAGCAAATGGTGTATAGGTAAATGAAAAGGCACTAAGAGAATAACAATAATGAGTTAGATCTTTTATGTTTTGACTTAAAATCTTCTAATATGGGCATTCGCATTCGAGAAAGAAGAGACAAATTGAGGTAAAAAAAGAGATATATATAGTAATAATTATAACTTCGTTATTTTACAATTTAAATTGTAAAATAAGGATATTTGGTTAGGTTGGGGGCCCCAATATTAGGGGGTTCATCTCTCATCCAAAAATTAATATTTTACTATTTGAAACAATTCAAACTGCAAAACAATTTTTTCAAATAATTATACTTGCAAAGATTAAAGAAATGATAATAATTGATATTTTTTTTATTTAATACAATTCAGAATATACTCATTAAAAAATTATTATTTTAAAATTTGAATTAAATGTGAAAAAATATAAAATTGCAGAATGTAATGACTACATCAATGGGTATTAATAGATATGTTAAACCAGATGGTGTATCAATCATTTTTTTTAAAGAAATTAATAAGATCTGATTTACTATTCTATCATATTTATTTTTAAAAAAATTAATTGATATAAAAATTAAATATCTATTGATATGACTTTTACATTTATTAATTAAAAACTAATTTTAATTATAAATCAATATTATTATATTTAGTAATTACTAAAATACTACGATGCAAACCAACTGCCGTTTAGCGCATTTTTAAAGTCTAGTTTTAATTAAAAACTAACTATTTCATCAAATATTTTATTTATTTACTAAAGAGTGCATTTATCACACATTTTTATCACTATTTTTTTATAAAAATTTAACTTTAATTTTATCAATTGTCTAAATAAATTATTTAATATGATATTAGTATTGAAAATAAAAATTACTTTTATAATTTTTTATATAAATTAATACTAAGAATATATAATAAATATAGTATTAAACATGTGTTTTAAGGACAATGATTAAAAAAAACCCATTTAAAAATGCATATTATCGGTAACCGACGTTTTGGGTGGTACGGCCACCAACTGGACGAATGCCCAGCCCACACTGAGTCACTTAAGGCCCGCTTCCTGTTTTACCAAACAAATGGGCCTCCAAATTCCCAACACGCAAAATGGAAGTAAAAATAAAATATATTTTTTAACAAACTATTAATTAATTAGAATTAATATTTTACCATTTAAATTATATATTAAAATCATCATTTAGTCTATAAATTTATTAAAGAATTTTTAATAAAATAATATTAAAAATAATTTCATTAAATATACCTTTATAAACTATTTTGTAGAAAGTTTAGATAAATATCGATGACTGTAAAACTAATTTTTAATCATCATGATAAAATGGTGGAAACTTTTATGATGATAGTCAGTTGCTTCAATTTATTGACCATTTATAAATGCATCCAATGCCATTTTTCTTGGACATAACCAAGAACTGAGAACATATTGTTTATTATTTTCTACCTCTAGCCTAGCAAGACATCCAACAATATGTACGGTTTCTCAAAAAAATATTTTCTACTCTTAAGTACACATATGGATAAAGGATAAACTATAACTAAAAAACAATAATACGTTAAGGGTCCATTTGATTTGTGAAAAATGATCTTTTTTGGGAAAATATTTTCCAAAGATAATGTTTTTCTTTTTAAAAATTATTGTTTGGTGTTTGAAACATTTTGAAAAAAATTTATGAAAAATATTTTTTATTGTTTGGTATCATGGAAAATCTTCAAATTTTCGTAAACAATAACACTATAAATGCATTAATATTTTAAAACTCATGAAATTAATTAGAATAAGAATATTTCAAAGTTCAAACTACATATTTTGTCTATAAATAATTTTTTTTTTTCTTTATAAAATGCATAAATGTCATTTTTCCTGGACATAACCAAGTAAGAACCGAGAACATATTGCTTTTATTCAACCTCTAACCTAATGAGAAATCCAATAATATGTACAATTTCTCATAAAAAATATTTTCTACTCTTAATTACACATCGATCAACTATAACTAGAAAACAATAATACATTAAGGATTCGTTTGATACACAAAAAGTAATGACCTTATTTTAGAAAATATTTTCCGTAAAATATATTTTCTTTTTTGAAAATTATTTTTTAGTGTTTGAAATATTCTCAAAAAATTTAATGAAAAATATTTTTTATTGTTTGGTTTATCATGGAAAATCTTCAAATTTTCCTAAACAATAACATTGTAAATGCATTAATATTTTAAAACCTATAAAATTAATTAAAATAAAAATATTTCAAAATTCAAATTACATATTTTGTTTGTAGATAGTTTTTTTTTTTTAATCTATAAAGTATATTTATTGGGACTACAATGAATAACCATCCACTTACATAATTCCAGAATTTCTACATATTAATCCTCAACCACAACCTGGTTTCCACATCTAAAGAACTACAAATTAAACTGCGTACCAGGATCCATTTTTTTGCCATCCCACCTCACTAAACAAAGGATGCATTTTACAATCAATTCTAAAAAATATTCCAATTTTATACACTTGATA